ATTGCCGCAGTTATCATATAAATGCGTTGAGTTATAAATACGTCTTAGGATCGCGACAGTGGAAGGTTTCACACTGGTTAAACTAGTGAGATACTGTAGAGGAATGAGTTTCTTGTTTGTTCAACAGTGTGGACGTAATTCGTTTGTTCACAGTTCGCGACATAGTTACTAAGATTGCCGTGAACGGTGATAGATTCGAAGAATAGTTTGCATCACATGGTTTGATGTTGCTGTTCTAGCCTGTGACTATGGTGGGGCTATAAAACCGATGAACTCTTAGAAGGTGCTAATTTGAATCGGAAAGAGGCATTCCAGCTATCGTTGTACTGGCGCATGGAACAATATCTCCGAAGGAGATAAATGAGCAATGTTATCGAAGAACACTGTCGTATCAGCAGTGCCACAAATATGTACAGCTACATAATGCCTTCATTATGGGAAATGTTGCATCGGGATAAACACACAATGAAATGGTAATATTGCAACCTTATGTGCTAGGATGGGACAGGATCAGTAGAAGTTAAGATCACTAGGCGCACACGCTGACTTTCAAATGAGAGGTCTTGAACTTTAAAATTTTTTTGCTCATTTTCAACGTTCTAACCTCAAAACTAGAATAGTGCCAAAAACTGAATTGACACGAGTTCGTTCGTCTCCACAGGGAGGCAATGATCACGCAGTCCCATGCCAACTTACTTCAATTAGTTATAAAATTGTTGAGCGACTTCATTTGATGTATCGGTATATTGGAATGCACGGTGTGCGATATTTACAAATTTCGAAGCATTTAAACTTTACGAGTTTGCTTTTGTATAAATTGTATAAACATGGATGGAAATTCCATCAATCTATTTGGATACCACTTCGAAAAATTTTTTTCGAAGTCGGTATTGATCAGCAAATTGCTCTTATTTCAGCAAGTTTTTCAAGCTTTATGTACTCTAATCGGATTTGTGACTGGAAGTGAACATTTAATAAACATGGGCGAATATCGATTCGAATGGATGCAAATGGTTGCTGTTTTACCTTCAGTTGCATTCTTTATAATGCTCATATTCTTACCGAAGTCACCTCGAGACTGCTTGGTTCGCATCAAGGATAGTGATAAAGGTACGAACAATCTTATAGATGTTCCTATAATGGGACAGGCTTGTTTCTGTGTCTTATTGTGCGCTCTAATTGGGCCTGTTGAGGACATAAGTAAACGTAATCAGCGCGAGAGAGTAGGTGATGTGATCTGTGATTGCAGAGTACTTCATGAGAATGGGAATTAATTTGAGTGCACGTTTGGAACGTTCATTCAACAATGCAGTTTGGGCTGGCTCGATTCATCAAAGCTAATTTTGTGCATCGAAATGTTTCAGAAAATCAGGATTTGATGTATAGAAGGTGTTTGATGAGTGCTAAGAAGACTGAAACGTCATCATTTCTAGCAAACAAATCAATAAAATTTTATTACGGTCATGATGATGCGGATAATATAAATGATGCGTTATTGGCTGAGAATGCGGAATCGACATGTTGCGATGAGAGCTGGAATTGGGTTACTGTTAAGGGACTTATCTTGGGATGTGTTGCTGCTATGTCGTTCGCGTTTACCGGCGATGATATTATCGATCAATTTTCTGCTCATATCATTCATGTTTGTTCGATTGTGTGGATTTTTTTATGAACTTCGATTGGCCCTTGCGGAGGAGAATGGGATTGTGGTGCTGAATCTTGCAATGCTCTTAAGATGGATGATAGATCAAATTTCATGAATAGATTAGCTGATATTTATGAGAAATTTCATTCATTTTCATTAGAGTCGTAGAACAGCGAGTCGAAAAACCTTTTGATTGTGGTTGCGAAAATAGGAGAAAATATCATCGCTGCTATGCAATTTCATTTATACCGTTGATAAGGGAGTCAGTATGCTCGCCGTATTGTAATTTTTTTGAAAAAAAAGGTATTTTCTGAGTGAAAACTCATAGGGACTGAAAGATCGCGGCGTCAGTTGCAGTGAGGCCCACATTGTAACAATATGTTATCATGCCAACAAATGAGAAATCAATTTTTTTTAAAAACTGTGCTCAACTCATACAGAACACAGAGACCCACCTGAACTTTTAGTACGACCCTATCCTTTTCCACTGAAACGTATGTTTCGGAATTCCGATGCTTGAAATATTCCTAACTGAAGACTTGCAGAATGTTGACAAAACTAAGAAGAGTATTGGAAGCGATCTACGATCTGATTTGCTAACGATTTTTCTTGGAGCAATTCTCTTCGTTACGAGTACTTTTGGATCGTTTCTGGTAGGTTTCTATTCATAACTGATGGCTAAAATTTCGAAAAGTTTATTCGAGGAGTATTAGGAGCTGCCGCACATTGCGAGAAACCCTTTCAGTCCTAGGCCTTTTTAGAGCATTTTTTGTCCATTTTGTTCACCGTCGTGCAAAAAGAAATCATTCACTCACCTATTTTATCCAAATATAATGAAATATGGAAAAGGAGCATGATCTCATGATTCAACCGAAATAAGTTCCTGAAATAATCTTCCCCATACAGATTTAAGGGAACGTAGTAAACAGTCGTCTAGGAGACATATTGACATGTTCTTGTGTATTCAGCAGCTCTTTTTTGCTGGGAAAATAAACACGTGTCTATATAATTCCTATGAACGCTTACGTCCATTTCACATCCTGCAAAGACTGTATTCAAAAACAAAAAAAANAAAAAAAAGAGCCTTGCGAAATTTTCAGCATCACATTGGGTCTTTCCTATGTCAAAACATGCCGAACTCCTACCTGCCTCATAGTACAGTCTGATGGGAGTAGAAACGAGTTTAACTGTTCCCTTGTGAAAGTTTCTCTGTTCAATTGATTTGTATCTTGTGTAGCTCCTCAGAAATCTTGATCAGTATCCATGCCTTTTCTAGATCCATCATCCCTTGAAAAAGGTGCACTCTTTCCCAAAAATGACAGTCCACCCATTCACACATTCAAATCATGCATAAACCTGCGACTTCTTCGCTTGAATTATGATTGCTCTAAACCAGACCCAGCCAATCTGCAGCTTGAGGACATAATGTATCTCGCGAAGGCTTGGGTACAGCCACCGATAGCTTTTGGAATTTGACTTGGACGCGTCCTGCGAAGACCACTAGTCACCCGCGAGAAATTTTAAACCTGTGTGAGCTGTATTCAAAGTCGCACTATTTGTTTGATTAGGCAACTAAGGTGAATTTATAAGTCTCTTTAATAAATATACAAGGAATAAAAGAATTGGTTATCAAGGATTCCGCAAAGAAAACTTAAGGAATTTGTAGAGAAAAAATCTCAAACTGTATATTACTGGCGAATAATTAAATAAGTGACTTTGAATCATTGTTTTGTTTAATAACCTGCGAGCTTTTATATTATTGAAATTTGGTCGGCGAGTACTTTTGGATTGCCTGAGCCTGCTGTAAACGGTTCTTCAAGCTTATTCGACTATGCATGAATGCTGACGGCTTATCTGGTATTCTCATTAGTCAATTCCTTTTACATTTTCAGCGAAATTTTGCTGCTAAAAAATTTTCAGCGGATACCTGCGTTTTTCGCCTCTTTAGGTCATCCGCCTTAAGCTGATCACATTAAAACAGCAATTAAGGTTGGATGCTTCAAAAAATCATGAAGCAGTATTTAATGATAATCAGAAGTGAACCAGCTTCTCCAAGAAACCAAACCAGCAACTTGACTCTCTCCAATTATGCAAGTCGGCGTTACGAAATGAGAATTTGACAGCAAAAGTTTAAGTTGGGCATACAAAGAGTACTTCTGTGCAAGTTAAGCTTCATCATAAAAGCATTAGAATCTATGCCATGAGAAACTCACTTCTTTAGTGGAAAATGGAGTATACAGTAAGTAAAATAAGAAAATAAACTACTATGCATCGAAGACATGATAGCAGTAGGAACTTGATCAACATGACCTAAAAAATGAAATAGCTCAGATAGATAAGTATGGCCGTCGTCGTTTGATGCTAGCTGGCTTGGTTGGCACGAGCATTTCGAATGGTATTGTTTTAATCAACAAAATTATTCCATCACCATCATTAACGGTAACTGCGTTTGCAATAACAAAGTGTTTCATTGGACTCGGTGCAGGTTCGTATATTGTTCCTCAATCATTATTAAAAATCAAATACTTCAACGAATCGATCAGTGATAATCATAAAAGTATGTAGAAATCATTTGTCACAGAATTTTAAAAAATTACAGAAGTTTGCGCTTATTGTTGGTGAATTAATTTGCTTTTGGAAACAGAACAGAATCATTTCGATCGATCAAGAGTGCCTCGTTTTATTAGGCGTCGTCAAGTACTAGTCTCAAAAAAAGTCGCTGTCGTCTACTTCCGAAAGTTCCGAACGTTTTCTTTCTTGGTTCATTCTTGATTAACTAATCATGGAGATAAAGAATTTAGTCCGGATGATCATATCAATGATTGGTTTAAACTGGACCTCCACATATGAGATGAAATTTTTCAGGAGCTCCGGCATGGTTTCTGACATCAGAGTTAGTGCCACCAAGAATGATGTCAATATGTCAAGCAATTAGTACGGGTCTCCTCCTCATTGTTACCGGAATAATAACTCTATTCTATCTTGAACTCGAACTGTCGTTGTCCGTCATATCTTTTGTCATTTTAGCATCGGGTAAGCTCAAACTTACATAAAATCTCTAGAATATGGCTGCCTCAGCAATATCTACGAATACATCGATAAGTGAATGAGAGCCTATCCCATAAATAGTCAATGATTCATTTTGTTAGTTCGTTTCATTGCTCAGTGACATGATTTCTCGAAGTGTTGATTATATCCAAAAAAACGATGAAAGTAATTTCCTGGATTCCACTGATGAAATAAGACACTGACTCTAAGAACAAAGACTTATTTACAGTTGATAGAAAATGTGTAAACTTTGATGGGAGCCTCTGATCGTTGTGTAAAACAAACGACAATCATTAGCATTCAATGAACCGGTATTCTGTCCTAGTTGAACCGTTCTATTCAGATTCTACAGCTCGAAAATTGTAGCGCAGTAATAGACTTGAACAATACAGCTTGGACTGCAGAACAGAACGGAATTGCTTTGAAAGTGGGTCTGTGCGACCGACCAAAAATAATTAATTTAGTAAATAGGATAAAAGAGAATAGAAAGATTCGCAAAAGCTATGGAATAACGACCACACCAGTTAAAGATCTATTTTCAGGACCAGCAATGTGTTCTGCATTCATATTGTTCCTCTTTCTGCCAGAAACACGAAACAAAAACTATACACAAGTTTCAAGTGAACTGAGTGGACATTTCTTCTCAGGATTGAGTGAATCGAAACCGCCTCAAACAGCAACTTCTCATTATGGATCGCTAGAGGACAATGATCAGTTGCAGTCATTAATTTGAAATTGTTTATGGGAGTGTTATGTTTCTTTAGAAAGCAATGTTGTACAGTCACAACTAGAGCTGTGAATCGGGAGACTTTTTCAGTGGTCACCGACTGAATATCCAATTGATAGCATCAGATTTTCAGTAGTCAGGGATCGGGTAATTCCTCATTTGTTTTGGCAACCAACGATCAATTAACCTTTTTCTGCCACGGTTCCCAAAATTTGGTGAACGCCAAGCTTCAATATCCCCAACAAATCGAACGATCGCCGTCAACCGAAAAAATTCAGTCAGAATTGTATTTTATTACTAATACAAGAATTGCTAATACAAATTGTCGTATTCATCAGACATTATTGCTATCACGTTTACCATATTATGTTTGCTGCAATGAAATTGTGAAAAATATGTTGAACCGGGAAGAAAACTGGAAACCGTGAACAAAACATCGTGAAATGTACGAGCAGTTCGAGAAATTTTTCCAAAAATCACCAACAATGAAAAGACAACAATAAACTTTGACATCAAGTATGACCAACAAAATACACACGTCACGACTGTTTTTTGTCTTGATTACTTTTTGTTTCGACTCCCAGAATGCACTGAAACTAAATTGCCTCTATGGTGATTTCCATCAACATATGAGCATATAACGACCTGAAAGCATTCCATCTCAATTGATGGGCTTATAATCAAAAATTGAAATTAAAAAGCGTGACGGTCAATAGCGCGATAATCATAATGCTCTCTTTGGATTTCCATCAGAGTTACAAAGTACTAAATGGACTAGGATGAGGAAAAAGGCTCTGCGATACTCAATTCCCTTTAAACCACTTTTCCAGTGCGAAACTCTATCGGCATGCACAAAGATTGCTTCCATGATTACTCCTTTGCACTGGTTCGGTATTTCAGCCACCACTCAGCGTTTCTATAATTTCAACACTTGACTGCACAAGGTGCAGCGATATTCACACGAAAAAGATCAATGAACTGTGTCAATAATGTGGATATAATACTCCCTAGTTTTCAAAAAAATTATTGGTTGAGAATTGCTATTAACACCCGATTTTTGTGAATCATCAGCGGCCAAAAAAACAAGTCGTTGCAATTAGCAGTGGATTGAAAATGCGGTGAGTTACTGTTGGGAGGAAATGAGAATGAGCAGTTGTTGTTGAAAATATGTCCTGAAAAAGTTTTTTTTGACGTATTGCTTTTGTTTTTATCATGTATAATTTCGATGAGCTTCATGCAGAATCATACCTCGAAATATCTTATGTCGGAGGCCGATTTCAGTAACGACTCCACTGAGGATCAAAGACTCGATCGCTTATTGAAGTGATTTTCATGTTCATGAATTTCTGCGATAAGGCCGGCCCTTTTGCAAGCATTGCCAACATAAGTAGATATAATGCGAAAGACTTCCAACAGCTCTTTAAGCATCATACGCATACTGCGTTACGAAGAACACTTCCATTCATCGAATAGGATTAAAAAGGATATCGATCGAAGCATTATTCTAAGCAGCTCAAAATTATTGTTGGAATTTCTGCGTAAAATGAGCAGAAGTTGCTGGCTATATGGCTCATGTGGCCTCAAATTGCTCATCTTGTTCTCGTTAGTGTTCTGCTACATTAATCACTATCCATTTTTCCTGCAAATGCACCGAAAATAAACGCAATTCTTCTTGCTCGCATGAGTCTGCATAACGTTTTATGCTCAATTTACCCAAAATGACATCGTTTTTCTCTCCACTGTTTTTCTGAAATCCAACGAATGTTTGAATTGGTGATCGTTAAGGCCTTTTTGAACACATATATCGGTAATTCCAGTGTTGTTAGTCATGAGAAATGTCTTGATGCATTTCTCAATCAGGACCTCGCTATTGCGCTATGAATCTATGCCTTCCCGCACCTCCAATTACAGCGCGTTATGGTTATTTGCTCGGTGTTTTTCATGCAAAATCGCTCTATTTGATCAGCTTCAATCAATATGAAATCGCATGATGCAGGGGAGCAAGCTCTCGTTTGATGTTCCCCAATACAACGTTGCTTCGGAATCTGCTCAAACGATTCATTTATTGCTTTCAACACACCGAAATCTATCAATCCTTCATGATTTCAAGTGATATTTAATAGTCAGTTATTCCACCGGGAATATGATGAACATAAAAACATCTCATTTGGTGGACGTTCGGGGATCAACTCATCGATTAATTTGTTGAAATAGCGAAAATTTATTTCGTATACCTCTTTCTTCGTCCGATTCAACGTATGCAATAACATTACCTATAGTGTAGCTCACTGATCATATTCAAACTGCAATGAAAAAGCTGCGATTTTTCTTGCACACACTGACGTGCTATTCTTTCATTGTCGAACCAGCTCCACGCGCATAATACTATTTATTAAAGAGTGGATCCATTGAAAGAGGAAAGAAGATACGACAATCATTTTACGTTATATGGAGCAGAGGAGTTACCTGCACAAGACAGCTACCTACACAATCCCATGTGATGTATCATCACGTCGTACATTGATGCTCCGCCAGTTCGATTTCATTTCCAAACAAAGCAGTCTATTGACTATTCGGTATCGCTGACAGACATACTTTCTAGTCACTTCATTTTTCAAATGTCGATTCCTTAAGAGTATACTGCGGGCCATATAATGGCCATATAATGAAAATAACTGAGCTAATGACGGAAAAAAATTCATTGCTTCCGTAAATGTCGAAAATGATTCGTGGTCCTCATGGCTATTTCCGAATAGCTGTAACCGATGTGGAATATCTGTGCATAGTAACATAGCTCCACGTAATTTGTTAAAATAACGAATTCTATGCAAATAATAAAGTGCAAACCATTTATGCGAGTAATAGTCTGTGGCAATCATCTCTGTGGGTATGTGAAGTTTGATTCATTTCATCACTATACTAATACCACTCTGAACAAATGCATTTGTCAATTCAAATCAAATTCATATGATATCGAATTGAGCATTCCGAATATTTGCAGTGAACGAAAGAAAAACATATCCACGAGATGGTCTCGAGCCCCTGGACTGCAGAACAATTCTTAGGTTGACGAGTGACTAGGCCCATGATGACTCAATCGGTTAAAGCACTTGCCCGGTTTACCAGGAATCAAGGGTTCTAGTCCCCAACGCGTATAGAATCAACTTTCCAGTGGACTTAGCACATAGAATATTAATGATGTCATTATGCAGCATTTTGATGCGAAACGTTCACTCAAATGAATGACGTATTTTTCTCGATCTTCACTTTGTGTGCCTTTATTGTTGATAATTCATCTCATTTGTGCTTATTTCTCTTCTGTATTTCACCATCTAACGAGAAAAAAAAANAAAAAAAAAGAAAACGTGGTCGAATGTCTTTCGTTAACTGATCATTATTTCCTACTTAACTGCATTCTTTTTTTGCTTACTTAAGTGCTCTTACTTAATTGCATTCTTTTCTTCTCGATGAATGAAATTCTCATTCGATGGTGACTGAAATTTACGTCCTTGCGTTAAGGCGACAATTACAAGCTATTCAGTACAGACGAAATAAGGTTCTCGACATAAAATGAACCGATTAAGCGAGTGATGCTGATAAGGCATATTTGATTGCGTTTGCATTTACAGAATGAGTAATCATGAATATGGCGGCTATCAACGTATGATAAACATGCATTTTCGATTCTATCGTTTCTGCTGATAGAACGATAACTTTCAATATTTCGTTATAGAAATAGCAATAAAGTGAAATGAATGGCGGGGCATAGTGATATAATATTATGTTTAGGTTTGAAACCATTCATGTTCGATTACATCATTGTTGTCAGTTTACAGTGAATTCTAAAAATCTGCTTTACCTTAATCTTATCTCGACATTTTTGCTTATAGTTGACTTTAATTTCAATTTGTATCTCAGGAATTTCTTAAATTATACGTCACAATTACTTCATTATGATTTCGGTTCATTTAATTATGCCTTACATTCAACTCCTCAGTTCAACGTTATTCGATAATAATAATTATTTTTCACTCATGAAATAACCCCTGCGTTAAAATCGCATAGCTCAGCTGCATCATTAACGACGATAATTTTCTCAGGGCGTGCCAATTCGTTAAGTAGTGCCAATTTTTGGTAAACTTCGACTAAAATATAATTCGAGTGTTAAATCCATGACGTTGACTGTCATCTGTATGTATTTATCCGTGGGATTACGTGTGCAGCTGTAAATAATTGAACATTCTTCGTTGTGAGCGATATAGCAAGCAGCCGGCCGTGACACTTTGCTGTTATTCAGTCTGTTCTGTTTACTCTATTAATGACGAATTTGCTAACTAATCCTCATTCCATTATTAGGCAAAATTAAATTCAATAGATTTTTAACAGTGTCTTGTATTCCCTGTCACCACGTCATGGTACCATTTTCAACCAATTCACAGAATAGGTGTATCGGCTGCTCAAGTGATTCATGCTTAAGTATAATTCGGAATGTCATGCGGAACGTCAAATTTCCCACCCCACCGAAACGCATCATAATTTCATTAGTCAGGAAGATGTTTCATTCAAGCGAATTAATTTTGTGACGATCGCTATGAATGAGCTGAGCAGTCATTTGTTGACGTCGACGCAGAAATTTCAAGCATCATCTCAAAGGCGAGAATTCGGAAACTAGGGTTCAAGTCAAGACCCATCCGAAACAGTCTGTCCAAACAAACATTTATCCAAGATGAGATTCACAAAATATCGTTGCATTCAATAGAAGAAGGCTCCAAGGAAATGTGTCTGAATGGGATGAATAGGAAAATGTGAAGCAAAAGCGTGTATAATTTAAGAATGCATTCAGTTGATTATTGATGTTCTGATGCGTGCTTCATGAATACGACAGCAGTTGTTCATTTAAGTACAATCATTCCAAATCAAACAATTTTTGCTCATCTTCTATTCCAATTTAAAATTCTCCAATTCTGAAGCACTATTCAGTACTTCGCTAACGTCGACACCAGCCG